CATTTTGAGATCTAACTTCGACCGACATAAGGCTCTAATTTATCGGTCAAAAAATGAGATTATTATTGTTCATTACGTCACCCGAAAAAGACGTTGTTTCCTTACATATACCGAGGACCACATTAGCGTCTTAGGAGATTACTTAAGACGGTCTTAAAATAAGAATCGACATAGAATTGCCGTTCGCCAAATTGGTTAAATATTTTAAATTTCAAAATTTTAGATTAGGAATAGAAATGGAAAGATTGTTCGAAATCAGTGTCATTGAAACCTCTTTAATAGAACATTTCATCTTTAGCATTCCCATCCGTCATATTGGTTGAATTTTTAAATTTTAATCCTTTCAATACTACATTTTGCGGAAATCGGAAGACTTTTAATAAGACTTAAAATAAGAATCGACATAGAATTGCCGTTCGCCAAATTGGTTAAATATTTTAAATTTTAAAATTTTAGATTAGGAATAGAAATGGAAAGATTGTTCGAAATCAGTGTCATTGAAAACTCTTTAATAGAACATTTCATTAAAATCGAGGAATTTTAAAGATTTCCGCCCGCCATATTGGTTCAGCCATTTTGAATCCAGAATAAAAATCGAATTTTAGAAAGCAGAATAAATCTTGACAAAAGGGGACCAAGCTCCGATAACTTTAACTTTGGGATATATTGTCAAGGTCATAATCCAAAGTGAGCTTAAACAAATTTTATCCACCGTTCGCTGTTCGTTAAAAAGTTATTAACAGTCAAAATTAATAACTATTTTTCTGCTTATTATATATCAAGAATCAGATAAGCTTAAGCAGAAAAGGCATTCCAATCCGCCATATTGGTTGAATTTTTAAATTCTAAGTTCAGATTCAGCATTAGCAACCGCGAAAATCTTTAATACTTTTTTAATACTTCAATTCGCTACAATCGGAGAATTTTTAGCATTTCCGTCCACCATATTGGTTCCGCCATTTTGAATTTTCAAATTCTAAGTTTGGATTCGGCATTAGCGACCCCGAAAACCTTCTAATGCTTCATTTCGCTGAAACTTAGCATTTCCGTCCGCTATATTGGTTCAGCCATTTTGAATTTTTAAATTTTAAATTCGGATTCGATATCAGCGAAAGCGAAAACCCACCAATATTACATTT